AGTAGAGGGAGATGGGACAATGTTGACATAAAATGGGTCATATATACTATATATAGGTCCTATATACAGGTCATATTGCGCCTCTATAGGTGAAATTCTTGGACTGGCGCAAGAAGGACCAGAGCAAAGCATTTGCCAAGAATGTTCTCATTAATCAAGAACGAAAGTCGGAGGTTCGAAGACGATCAGAGATCAGATACCTTCATAGTTCCCACCATAAACCATGCCAACTTGCAACTATGCAGTGTTATTCCCATGACCCGCCAGGCAGCTTCCGGGAAACCAAAGTCTTTGGGTTCCTGGGGGAGTGTGGTTGCAAAGCTGAAACTTAAAGGAATTGACGGAAGGGCACCACCAGGAGTGGAGACTGTGGCTTAATTTGACTCAACACGGGAAACCTCACCCAGCCCTGACACGGACAGGATTGACAGATCGATAGCTCTTTCTCCATTCCATAAGTGGTGGTGCATGGCCGTTCTTAGTTGGTAGAATGATTTGTCTGGTTAATTTCGATAACGAATGAGACTCTGGCATGCTAACTAGTTATGCGACCCCCCAGCAGTTGGCATCCCCCAACTTCTTAGAGGGACAAGTGGCATTCATCCACCCAAGACTGAGCAATAACAGGTCTGTGATGTCCTTAGATGTGCAGGGCTACACGTGTGCTACACTGACTGGATATACTATAATTCTTGCAAATTCTAAATAAATAAATATTAAATAAATAAATTAATTAATTAATTTTAAAAAAGATACAGTCTCAGCATTTGGGAAATAATAGGAAGTCTGGGCCCTATTCCAATCTCCCTGGGTGTCAGATACAATGGAAGCTCACTAACTATCCAGTTACCATTTTTTAGGCTTATTTTAATTTTATTTTTTATTTAGTAAAAGGTTTATTTATCTTTATTTTATGTATATGAATGTTTTGCCTGTGTGCATATAAATGTGTTATGTACATGCAGTGCCTGAGGAGGCCGGAAGAGGGAGTCAGATCCCATGAAACTGGAGTTACAGACAGATGTGAGCAACAATGTGGGTGCTGGGAACTGAACCTGGGTCCTCTGCAAGAGCAGCAAGTGCTCTTAACTGCTGAGCCATCTCTTCAGTTCTTACTTTT